GGAAAGAGTCAAATGCAGTCTTTGTACATCCTTTTTCTCCCGTTGCTTCCAGTTGGGCAGTGGATCAAAGCCTGAAGCGGAGCTGAGAGAGGAGTCTCTAGCAGTCCGGGGATGCAGCAGGGGGTGAAGGCCTTGCTCCATCCCTTCCACATGCTCTCCAGCTTTCCAGCATCCTTATTCCCGGAGGGACTGCTTCAAAAGGAGAGTAGATTGAGGTTGTGGTGTTTGCACCGGCAGTGACAACTGGTGGCTTTTATGATATGGATTCCTATCTGGGAAGTTCTGGACTGAGATAACTAAACTCATGTCACCTCAGATGACTGCCCGCTGACATGTAGGAGTGAGGTGGTAATCCTGAGGGATTGGTTAAATTTGGGAGGTGGTTCCTCAGAGCTCTTGAGGGGAGAAGAGACATGGTTATGGAAAGAGAAATCTTCCTGAAACTTATCCGTCTATGGGCATAGGGGATTTTTCTCCCCAGTGTTGGATGGAAGCCCTGTGAATACTGTAGTGTTCAAAGGAGAGACATCATCAAATTCCTGCTCCCAGCATATCTCAGCAGGTCAGACCAGCAATAGGATGCCCAGCTGTTGAGGTGGGAAATTGCTATGTGTACTCTTCCCCCCAGTGCCCTTTTTCAATTTAAAAGCAGTTTTTAGCTGCAGCAGAGAGCTTCTGCAGTAGGGCTGGGGAAATTTGAACTGCTGGGCACAAAGCCATTGCTGAGTCAAGGCATTCAGTTGCAAACTCTCTTTGCCAGCTGAATTTCAGCTCTCCAGCATACAGGAGCCCAGGTTAACTCTGTAGTGAAGCTAGAAGGTTATTAAATAATTTTCTAGACTATAGAAGTGGGAAGCGAGGGAGACTTCCCAGAGCATGCAAAGCTGCTTGTCTTGTGCGCTGTAGGTACACCTAGTTGTGGGAGAGACATCTTTTTTTAAGGGGCTGTTTTCTTTTCGGTAGCTTGGCATCCCATCATGAAGAAGATGCTTAAAGTTGTGGTTCTCAGTCTTCTAGTTTATGAATGGCTGAATTTTTTTCCAGGCGAGGCACAGGCACCTGTAGAGCAAATTTAATATCTGTTAACACTCTTAAAAGGTGTCCTCATACATCTCATCCTTTCTCCTTCTGGAGGCCCGTGGATTTTACAAAATCAGATGATAGTTGAGGTGGATGGAGTACATGTCTCATCTGAGGCTGCAGATCGTGCGATTGGATCTGTGCCCGTCTGCCTGTCCAGTCTTTAGAGACTAAGGTGAGGAGTTAGGCAGACAACCTTGAAGGTCTTCTCCTCGCTGTTTGCTGAGGTTACTTGGCTTTCCCAGCTGGCACTGGTTCTTGTCACTGCCACCCAAATAGGTATAGCTGAGGCCAGATATATGCAGTGCTTTTAGCTTGCTAGGTGGGCTGTGTTGTGGTGGGAAGCAGAGAAGCCCCAAATCTAACTTGCTTGGTCCGCAGATGAATGAGGAACCTCCTCTAAGCAAACATCCTCCTGGAATTGCAGTGTGCAGACCAGTTTGGCTGCTGGTTCCCAGTTCAGCTCATCTCAGAGGTTTTTTCTTTAAGCAAGACCGGGTGGCTTTCTTTGCCTACGTCTTAGCTGGCGGCTGCTGAGTTTCCTGGAAGCAGCGTTGCTGCAGGGTTGTGTTCAGCTTTACAAGATTACCTCTTGAGCTGGGTTATCTGCTCATGTCTGGCAAGAAGTGTAGTGGTAGCCCAGACTGACAAGCGCTCACCCTCTTGCTTTGGTGTACGATCTCAGGTACTGTTCACAGCAGTAGATACCTTCCCAAGCTTCCCGGCACTCCTGCAGCTCTGCTTGGTGTCTGCAGCTTATGGT